AGAGAGAGAGAGAGAGAGAGAGAGAATCCCAAGCAGGCCCTGCAACACCAGCACAGAGCCCAATGTGGGGCTCAAACCCACAAACTCAAGCTGAAGTCTTAACCGACTGAGCCACCCAGGTGCTCCAGAAACGAGTTTTATAAAATAGTAGAGAGGCTGCATATGGTAATCTGTAAAGTGGAATTTCTTACACTTTAAGCAGATCATCTGACTGTATCACTTTATTCTTTGATAGAGAACTCTTCCACTTCTTGTATTTAATCTCCCTCTGTCATTCTTGGACAGTTTGACAGAATGTGAGTTGGAAGGATAATCTATGTATTCCTTAATACAAGGTCCCTTAATCATTACGATCAAAACTTAAGTAAAATTCAGCTGACATCATCACATCTCATTAAAACAATACTGAAGAAATCATGAGAAATCCAAGCAATGAAAAACCTTCACTTTATTTAGGAAATCACTGAATAACTGGCCAGTAGGAACTGTCAAGAAGGTAGAAGCCTTGCATATTTAGACATTTCTAGCTGACCAAATTGTCCAAGAAATTAGTGGAAAGGGACTCAATTCTTAGGCAAGTCAGTAGCTCTGCTTTGGGGGGAACTTAAAGGGAATTACATTTTCAAGATTAAACATGAGCAAAAACAAATTTTAAAAAGCCCACACACTGCTCAATCTCATAGCACATGAGGGCCAAGGCTTCCAAGAAGTCAATGGAGTTTTGCTGGCACCCATATATGCATGGCAGTCTGAAGGTGGGTTTCATTGTGGAGGGGATCCTTGCTCTCCAAGGGCTGTTAGGAGTCCACCCTGGCTTCAGAGACTCAGTCTCATGGGACATTGAGAATCTGAAGTAGAAACTAGCTGGCACTCACCTGTAAAAAGCCACTGGGATCATTTTCCTTAATGACCTCCAAGCAGTACTCCATGAGACCTGTGGTCTGGCGCAATTTCACTGTGCAGTGAGAGATCTGATCTCGAACCACCTAGGGTTGATGAGAGAACAGAGTGGTCCAAAATGGCAGAGGGTAAAAAAGAAGCAAACTGGGACGTTAGAAAGCGTCTTCAAACCATATTCCAAGAGCATCATGGAATGGAATAAATGTATGAGAATATTTTGTGGCAGTGTCTGCTGTGGACAATGGCTCCAGAAGACAGATTGTATAAATGCTTTTATTACAGGAACTGGTAACAACAGGACCCATCAGAAAGGCATGCAGATGGTGGAAGCCTAGGAAGCTGGTTACTCTGGTGCCTGAAGGGACGTCTTCCTAATTCCCCCTTCTTTCCGTCTTCTGGGAAGCTGTTACTGTGAGCTGTTCTAAGTGGGAGGTCGCTGGGAGTCTACAAAGGAGCTGCGTAACCCGAGGTGCTGCTGCAGCTTCTGTTCTGGGAACAGTCACCCACCTGCTCCCACCCTGTGCCTGTCTCTTCTAAAGAGCAGATGTCACCATCCGAACCAGTTCCTTCTCATTCTGATTCTTTTTCCTGAGGGGGTGGTGGGGTGGGGTTAAAGGTGAAACTTGCTGAAAGACAATGAGCTAATAACCACAAGTAAGCCAGAGAAAGATGGATGCAGAATTAAGTTTTGAGAATAACCCACTTAGAAGCAATCACTGCCTCATTTGGGAAAGCAGTTTTAAAGGCTCTCTATTTACCATGCTGTGAGTCTGGTTTAACCTAGAAAGGCCTCTCTCTGAACATACAGTTTCTGCCTCTGGGAAGTTGTCTTTGCCCAGTGTCAAACACATGACAGTCCTTGAAAAGTTTCTTTCTTCAAAGATGTTCATTTTCTGTGTCCTCTGCTCAGTGACCCAAATCCTGAAGTGGTTTCTGAAGCTAGAGTTGAACAAGAGTTTTCTAGGAACCTCACTTGCTTACATCCTCGATATTTATACTACTTTGCAAAAGCCTCAGAAATATCCAGCCTTCTGGATTTTTACAAATAATAACTAAAAGGAGTTTTAATATTAATTATTGAAAACCTTTTTCTTTGTTCCTTCTTTTCAGTTTTGATTATACACCTTCCATTAAAGGATATTTCATTTACTTTCAAAAGCAATTGGAAACTAGACAAAAAAGCAATCATCTCATCACTCTACTGCAGATTTTTAAAGCATTTTGATATTTCCTTTCAGGTTTTATCCTTGAGCTAGATATATGTATAGTTGCAATCGTAATATGTGACAATTTTACCTCCTTCCCACTTAACACTATACCATAGTCATTTTACATGTTGCCACCATCAATAAATGTTACTGGCTACATAAATATCCCACTGAGTGGGTTATCATAATTTATTTAATCATTCCTGTTCCTCTATTTTTGGACATTTAAATTCCTCCTAATTGTTAAAAAGTTCATTTATTTATTTTGAGATTGAGAGAGAGAGAGAGCACACGCAGGCATGCACGTGCGAGCAGGGGAAGGGCAGAGAGAGATAAAGAGAGAGAGAGAATCCCAAGCAGGCTCTGGGCTGTTGGTGCAGAGCCCATGCAGGGCAAGTCCCACTAACCGTGAGATCTTGACCTGAGCTGAAATCAAGAGTTGGACGTTCAACCAACTGAGCCACCCACGTGTCCCTAAATTCCTAATTTTTTGACAATTCATCCATTTATTATTGCTGGTCTTTGTTTCTAATTTTTTTGTGTGTGATGAAACATATATAACATAAAATTTACCATTTTAGCTATTTTTAATTGGATAATTATATGGCATTCATATTGTACTCAATACATTCATATTGTTGTGCAACTATCATCACCGTCCATCTCCAGAACTTTTTTATTTTTCCAAACTAAAATTTTGTACTCATTAAACAATAACTCTCCATTCTCCCCTCCCCCCTGGCCCCTGGAAACCACCATTCTACTTTCTGTGTCTATGGATTTGACCACTCTAGGACTCTCAGATAATATAATATCATACAATATTTGTTCTTCTATGACTGGCTTGTTTCACTTAGCATGATGTCTTCAAGGTTTACCCATGTTGTAGCTGGTGTCAAAATTTCCTTCTTTGTAAGACTGAATAATATTCCATTGCAGGTTTACACCACATTTTGTTTATCCATTCATCTGTTGATGGACATTGGGGTTGCTTCCACCTTTTGGCTATTGTAAATAAAGCTGTTATGAATATGGCTGTGTAAGTATCTGTGGAAGTCCCCGTTTCACTGCTTTTGGGTAGATAGCCTGAAGTGAAATTTCTGGATCACATGATAATTCTATTTTATTTTATTTTTTTTAGAAATCATTATACCATTTTCCACAGCAGCTGTACCATTTTATATTCCCATCAGCAGTGCACAAGAGTTCCAATTTCTCCACACCCTGTGATACGTATCACTATCTGTTTTTTTTTTTTAAATAATAATAGCCATCTTAATGGATGTGAAGTGTAGCTCATTGTGGTTTTGATTTGCATTTCCCTAATAACTAGTGATGTTGAGCATTTTTCATGTGCTTATTGGCCACTTTATCTCCTTTGGAGAAATGTCTATTCAAGTCTTTTGCCCGTTTTTAAATTGGTTCTGTTGTTGTTGTTGTCTTCTGATGCACAAAATTTATACATTTTTGTCTACCTTTTCCTTTGTTGCCTGTGCCTCTGGTGCGATACCCAAGAAATCATTGCCAAATCCAGCATTGTGAAGCATTTGTCCCGTGTTTCCACTTAAGCGTTTTATAGTTTTACTTCTTACATTTAAGTCTTTGATCCAATTTGAGTTAATTTTTGTATATGGTGTTAGGTAACGGCCCGACTTCATTCTTTTGCATGTGGAGAGCCAATTTTCCCAGTGTCACTTGTTGTAAATCTGCCCTTTCCCCATTGAATGGTCTTGGAACCCTTGTCAAAAATCATTTTACTATATATGTGTAGGTTTATTTCTGGGCTCTTTATTCAATTCCAGTGGCCTATATGTCTGTTTCCATGCCAGTACTATACTGTTTGGAATTTTGTAGCTTTGCTGTAAGTTATGTAAACAGGAAGTGTGAGAACTCCAAGTTTTTCCTTTTACACGATTGTTTTGGCTCTATGGAATCTCCTAATTTTTTGACAGATGATTTGTTACCACTTTTTAAATTTTAGTAAAAGAAAAACAAAAAATAAAATGTAGGATTTAAAAATCTCCTTATTAGAATTGGCGAAAGAAACCAACTTTGATGTGAAGACTGATTTTGACAGGTAGAAGGGAGATCAAATTTAAAATTCACTGGTTGACTTATTTTCTTCTGGCATCTAGTATTCTGCTCAAGGAATGCAAATTATTTTATTTTATTTTTTAAACGGAAAGTTTAACCTTTTTAACAGAAGGTTAAATTTCTACTCCTTAGTGGGGAGAAAACCCCACCCATAAGTGAAACAAAAAATGCAGGACAGGTGACCTAAAGCTAATCTGCTACTTCTCTCTGCTATAATAGGCTTAACTAAATTGTTCTCAGAAAATGTTGTTATATTTTGGTAGCCAGTGCATCAACGCCTCTAGCTAGCAGAAACCCCAGCAGTCATCATTCACTAACCAAATGGCATCTGTCCTAGGACTGTGCAGAAGTGACTGGTGCTCTAGTCTGAATAACAAGCACGGATTAGGTCTGGGCATTGTAACCCAAAGCGAGTTAGCTTTTGAAGCAAAATAGACTTGAATTGTTGTATTTACTTTCCAGAGCATTCAGATCAATGATAATTTTATGACTGAAAAGCTGAAATAAATACATTAATCAGGCCTCATAAAATTCTATGTTTGCTTCTACAAATTTCTTCTCAAGTAAGATTTATTTGATGCCAAAGGAGCTGAGCGTTGGGTCTCTCTGACTACTCTTAGGAAACTTCATTGTTGCAGTGCCAAAGAGTTGGTGAGTTTCAGTGGGGGGTTGCCATTGCCATTTGCCATTTGCTCCCGTGTTCCATGGTTCAAGCTTCTTGGAAGGACTCAATATTCCTGAGCTCCTGGCTCTCAACTCCCACTGTTGCAACAATGGATTTGGGTCCATCATTTTACCTGTTAATCAACTACTTCACAATGGTCACAGTAGCCACAGTAGCCAATGGTCACAGTAGCCACTGCTTGGGGCACCTGTGTGGCTCAGTCAGTTAAGCATCAACTTTGGCTCAGGTCATGATCTCATCGCTTGTGGCTGCGTTGGGCTCTGTGCTGACAGCTCAGAGCCTGGAGCCTGCTTTGTTCGGATTCTGTGTCTCCCTCTCTCTCTGCCCCTCTCCTGCTTGCATGCTCTCTCTCTTTCTCTTAAAAATAAACATAAAAAAATTATTTAAAAATTCACTACTCAAAATTAAACTTCAGGTTTCCCAGAGGCGGTACTTTTGGATGTGTTGTAATTGACGTCTAGTTTTTGAATTAATTTGGCAAGATTTTCCATCTTATGGAAATTAGCCAAATAGGTCTTTTAAGAGTATAAATATTTTTTCTTCAATTGTGTGTCTTTATCAGCTCTCTCGTTACCTTCTTCACTCTGTGTTATTTCTACTATTTACTATTATTATTTATTTTACATTATATTTTTGTATGGAAAACAATCCCTAGGAAGTGAGGCCGTGTCACTTTTTCTTTGGGTTCCACATTTCTGTGCAGTTGCTTGGATGCTCCGGAGAAACCGTTGGCAACATGTTTGCTGCTGGCCGGAGTTAAGAGTTCCTTTTCTCAGGAAGGAAATGTGCAAGTGACAGGAATGACACAAATAGGGACTGGGAAACAATCTTCCTGCTTTCATCTGCAGTAAAGCCTAAACTAGCTCTGGGACAATGAGTTAATCTTTAGTTCATGGTTTCAGAGAAGGCTTTCACCATTTTATTAGCAGTCCCCATCTGTTCAGGATGGCAAGTCTTATTGCTTGCTTGAATGGCTTTATTTTGCTAAGTGGCAAATTTATGAAGGTCATTCCTTGGGTCAAGATATGGCACTGACACTTTGGAAAGGGGGAATTGAGCATTCCCTCTGAAAGCTTGAACTTTTTTGGTAGCATAGAGC